TGCGCCGCGGCTCGATCGGTAGAGAGCGGGAGCCGCGGGAGCCGCGGGAGGCCTGCGAAAGAGTGATCGATCGACAGCGGGCACGGAGCGGAGCGGGGCAAGGCGGGGCGCCGGGCCCACCTTCTGGGAGACCCTCTCGGACCTCAATTCGAGGAAGTAAGGCTGCTTCTTGAAGGGACGTGGAACGACCAAGCTCTGCACGGTGGGGGCGTTTCCAGGGATCTGGCCTCCTGACATGTCTTGAGATGTCTTGAGCTCTCTTCGCCTGAACCATGAGAGACGCAGCTCTCCCAAAATGATCCTTGATCTCGCGCTTTAGCTCCACCTTCGCGAGGGGGGAACTTCCCAAGGCGCCTGTAACCCTTTTCGAAGCAGAAGGCGCCTGCTGCTTGGACAGAGCCTGGATGCGAGCTGACCTCGGAGTTGTGCGAAGAAGTGGAGATGCTTTTCGAAACATATCGAACAAACCGGGTGCTGAAGGGATTCATGTGATGCCTGGGACAAGAACATCTGCGACATGCTATCCAGCGCAGGTAGGCGATCGGTCGCCTCGGAGATCGTCGCATTCAATTCGAGAATCAGCCCTGTCTTGTGCAGGGCTTTTCCGCGCGCTACACTCTGAGTGCGATGCCTTTCGAGTTGATCCGCTTGCTGCAGATGCAGCAGAGCTCGCTGAGTAGATGGGTCGAGGGCTGATGGGCGGCAGCGGTGAGGACATGCCTTCCCAGTTCTCACACATACAGACAGAGACACAGACACGGCCTGTTGGCACCGGAATGTATCAGGCCTTCCTTGCAAGTCTGGAGGCTTCCAGCACCATGAGCGGGCACAGAGTCACGAAAATGCGACCATAGCTTCACCAACGAGAGCCACTCTGCTGCGGTCAGGGAGCTACACGCAGCTACACGATCGATACCACTGCGTTACCGTGCATCGTGCACGAATTGCCAACAAGCCATGATGGGACGGGCCCCACGGCACGGAGTCGAGGGTGCGGCAGCTGTGTCTGAAATAAGTTTGTGGTGGGCCTTGGATCAGGCGCAGCTACCCCCTGGTCCCAGGAAAAATTGCAGGCTTCCCGCCATTTTCTTGTCGTTCATGCCCGGCTTCATCTCCATGAAGGTGTAGATCTGGCGATAGGGAGAGTTAGACTGCTAGACTCTGCAGCCGACGGCTGCCGTCTAATAACATGCACAAGCTTACGAAGGACTCGCTCCAGTCGCCGCCCCAAAACCATCCCTTGCCCTTCTTGTTCTTGTGAAGCGGCATGGTCCTGTGAACGCACTTGGCTACGGCATGCTGCGAGATTTAACCACGTAAGGTCACGACACGTCTGCTGTTGGTTCGGCGACGCCTCGCCGACGAAGCAGCGCTGAAGCTTGGACAAGCGGCAAGAGCCCGTCGCACCTATGAACTCCCATGCGTCGGAAGGCTTCGTAACGATCTTGACCTGAGTCATCGTATTCCAAAGCGAAGATAGCACCCACGTCTACACGAGTCTACTTGGTCGATCCCATCAGATCTCTCCGCCTCCCAGTAGGAGCGGCCGGACTGAGGGATCTCCTGATCTCCCAACACCTTCGGAAAAAAGAGCCGTTGCTTTCGGTCAAGCATGGCATAGTGCAGACGAGGTGGCCGTGTTGTAGTGTCCGGAGAGAAAGCTGCCTTCCGTGGAGACTCGGTAGGCATTGTCCTCATTCGGCTTCGTCTGCGATGACTTCACTGCGACTCGCTCTTCGGTCCTTCTGAGCTGTCAGGAGTCCCTTGTGATCCTCCGAGGAGCTGAGGCCGAAGGTGTAGCCCGCCTGGCGAGCCAATTCAGCTCGCGCTCTTGCGACTCTTGCGAAAGGCCCTCCATGTCAATGTCACGCCTTGCGCGCGACGACGCTGCGGTCGCTGCGACCCAGTCCTGCTTGCCCCAAGAGACCAGCACGTGACGTCTGCAAGGCTCGTCGCCAGCATCGCCGCCTCGCCCGCTCGCAGCGAGGAAGCTCCGGGCAGTGCCGTACCTCCACGCAGACCAGGACAGTCAGGACACGACGAACACGAGCCGCGAGCCCCGCGAGCCGGGGATCCGACCAGGCTGCAGCCCCGCAAACCGCCAAGACCTCGCAGCAGCGCATGCGCACCACACGGCTGCCGTGGTAGGGTGGCGCAGGACCGAGTCCGGTACTGCCAAGATGACTCTATGCTGCCTGCGAGCAGCATGGCCCTGGCAGGGCCTCACAAAGCAAAGCACACAGCGAGGACTCCTGGAAAGGCCTGTCCTGTAGAGCCCACTGCGACTCTGACATCTCAGTAGTCTTAGCACATAGCCGAGGCCCATTGACAGCCATGGTGTCGAGGGCCAGATGGCCACGGACGCTGAGCCCAAAGATCGTGCGCCGAACACGTTCACGCAAATACATGCAACCCTTTCCAAGCTTTCACACCGTACGTCCTAGATCTAGGGCAGGAGCACGATTCAATTTAACAGATCACTGCATGCAGTGAACAAGGTTCCCGCTGCAACCGGACTTGGCGAGCGCGACAATGCCTGCACGTGCGCATAGACCTGATGGCAATGTGAGCTGCCAGTCTCCACGACGTCGGAGGACCCACAAAAGCAAAAACCGAATGTAACGCCTCTGGTGCTCTCAGTGGCACCGTCGCCCGCGCGGGCAACGGAGCCTTAAGGTCATCGAAAGCAAAACAAAAAGCATCCTTGTTCAAGATTTTCTGGGAAGCGGACTGCATGCATTGTCGGCATTGCCATTTGGATAGGCGAGCCCAGTGTTGCTCTGGCATGCCTTCGTTCCCAGCTGCCAGCTTGTGGTGACAGCTCTTCCGGTTCGTTTCTCGGCCAGGCACACTGGCATCGGGACTGGCGCCGAAAGCCTCCAGTGTGCGCGTGTCGAGACTTCCCAATGCGAAAGGCCGCATCGACCGTTAACCATCTGCACAAAAAAAAAAAAGGGCCGCGCTGTGCCACAGCCGGGTATTCCGTCGCCGCCAAGGCCTCCACGCGGGCAAGTCCCGAGTGCATGAAGACGCTGCAAATGCGATTGCAAACCGGGGCCTCAATCGCCTGCTGTCTCTCGGCCAGCACGCGATGCCACTCGCCTTGCTCACACTTATCTGGGCCCGAAGGCCAGGAAGATATCTGGCCTGCGATTCTCTCCAGGTCGTTGTCCAGCCGCTCGCGCCTCGATCGGGTCCCACGCCGCAAAGATTTAAAGTGCGAGAGGCCTCAGGCTGCAGCTGCAGCAAGAGGCGCTCACGTTCGTCCAACGCCTGCAGAGCCCGCTCTGCAAAACACGCAAAGCACGCAAAACGCCTTACGCCGACTCTTCTCGGCTCCCGAACCTGCCTCGGCCTCTCCGAGCTCACACTCTGGTCGCGGCAGCGTCTCTGGTTCCGGCAACAGCTCCAACTCGGGCTCCTGAACCTTGGCCTCCAAGGCCTCCGGACAGCGCACGGACGGCACGGACCGCATGTGGGGATTTCTGGGCGCCTCCTTGATCCCGTCACCCTCCTCGCCCGCACCGGCGTCAGCCCCGGCGCCCACCGGTGCCTGCACTAAAAACCAAGAACTGGACTCCTCCATCATCCTCTCCGCGCCTTATGCGGCTCCTCGTCGATCTCTTCCGGCTCGGAAGCTAGAGGTGCGAAAAGGGAGGCCGGCTCTTCCGGAGCACTTCGTTCCGGTTCTGCCTCAGAAACGTATGTCAAGGGGAGCCGGTGACGCCTATAACCAACCGATTCAACCGTGCCTCCACGCCAACCCAGGCCCGCAATGCTTGGCCCAGATCCTGCGCCTCGCGGCGCAGCACCGCCGCTGCCTCTCGCATGACTGGATGAATTTTTGGGTTAGTATGATGAACCTTCTATGAAAGGGCACCCCGCCTCCAAAATCTCTGCCCTCTCGGCAGATTTCGCTGTCATGTCCTGGGCAGATCGTCTTGGTGCAGGAAGTCGGCTGGTTTTTGTCGGCTCGACACGGTCCTCCCAGGAGACATCGATCGGAGCCGAGCTGACTGACGAATTTGCAAAGTCCGCATTGGGATCGTGATCCTCGGAGTTTGCATGGGACGGTCTTCTCCTGCCATTCTTCCAGTCGGGGCTTTCCGGCGAACAGCTGCCAGGTGGTCTGCGGGAAGGATGCTTCTCCAAGTCCCTGTCCGGGCTCCCATGCGACCGAATCAGCGACCGGGCTGCATACCCGGTAAACCCGGGCTGCGTCTCGGAGCGCAGCGGGCTTTCCGGTGTGCAAGGTGTAGGAGGTGGCGGCTCGGCCCCGAGTTGCGGCTTTCGCAGCTTGGGCGCCAGGCCGCTTGGGGACCTCTGCCTCTGACTGCCCTGACTGCCTTTGCGTTCTCTAAAAGCCGGCGTCCCGGCCATGGCCTCCCGCGCGCGCCTGGCTGCGGCAGCCAAGGGCGACTCGCGCCTGGGAAAGGCCCGGCCCGAAGTGTTTGAGGGGCCGGCGGGACCAGGCCTCGCCTTGGTCTTTGCCTTGGCTTCCCTGGCCTCCCTCAACTTCGTAGAGCCCATAGCCATAGAGCCCGTGGAAGCGCCCAGGCCGCCGCTTGCCATTGACAGCGAATACATTTTGGACGGCTGCCCAGGCCGGACGATCATGGCCAAGGGCAGAAGACGGTCAATTACGAGTCTTACGTTGGGCGTCCCTCTGCTTTTCAAGGCCACTGTCTCTCGCGATACCCTTCGTGGTCACCGACATAGCTTGCACGACCGGAACACAGAATATACAAACGCCCTGCCGCCACGCTCTGCTGACCTACGCACGAGCTGTCCACTATCATGTCTCCCTGCCGCAGATCACCTGCTCAGCGATTTGCTTAGTCATCTAGCTGCCTTTCCTAAGTGCTTACCTACCCGGACCTACCCCTTCCTTTGGAGGCAGAAGCCACATTGAGCCACTTGCTGTCAGTGCGTGCAGGCGACCGTCGTGACGTCCGTGGACAGCTGGCCCGCTACTTGTAGCTTGGAGGGAATGGCAGGGCCTGAGTCAGCTCCGTCTGCAGTCGGCCTTCGGTGGACTTTGCGCGAGCAGCTTGGTCCTGCAGGGAGTGGCGCTATCCGCTATCTGCCTCTGTGAGCCACGCTTCCCTTGAAGGATGTCCTTCTGCCGGGTCTGCAGGCTCTGCAGTCGAGAAGCGGCTTCACTCTCAAGCTTCTTGGCTTCTGCTGCCTCTCCAAAAACGCGAAGTGTCGAGTCAGTCTTGACTGCACAATGAGACGCGTCCCAATCGATGCTGATGACACACTGTCACGATGAGCGGGGTTGAAACCTACCACAACCGAGAGCACCGAACTTTCTCTTCGTCTGCAAGAAGGTGCACCGCTGGCATCCTCTGGCTGTGGCTTCTTGTGGCTCTGTGGCCTCCAAGCTGAAAATGCAGCAGAACCTGCCGCTGCATACGTTGCTTGCAAGCGCTCACGCATGTCCCTTGGACTTTGGCCGCTGGGCAGGGATCCAGCATGAAGGCCCAGCGCCCAGAGCGCGCGCTTCGTCGGAGGCTTTGGAGACCAGCGAAACTCCGTCTTCGCGCTCTTCGAGGCCGCTCGCAGGCTCAGAGCTTCGACATCGGAACTTTTCCTGGTGCCTCGGCCTCGCCCTTCCGCCAGGCCTCCGCACGGAGAACCAAGGAGGACGGAGGCGGGTGAGAGAAGTGGGACGTGACCGAGAATCAGGCCATCGCATGCTGCATCCCAGAAAAGCCCTCGGTTGGAAACTCGGAGCCTCCCAGGGGCAGAGGGGCAGGAAGCTTTGGGGGGGGCGCTGAATGAGAAAAATCAAGGCCGGCCTTCGCTGAAGTCACAGACCTGCTCGAAGTTCCGGGCGATGTCCTCACCGGCGAAGCACTCGCACAAGAACCGATGTTGCGATCATCTGGCCTCCATGGTGAAGTCGCCTTTGAGCTGAACACCCTTCGAGCGTTGGAGCCTTACCTGTCATGTGCGTTGCACGCACAGCTGCACAGCTTATGCAGGCAAGGGAGGGACGCAAGACGCGCCTTGGAGATCCAATTTCCGCCGAGCTCGTACAAGCCGCCTGACTCCGGGCAGTCCTCGTGGCACCTGCAGATTAGTTCAGCATGCGACAGTTATGAACAGTGAGTAAAACTGCTTCGACGATGTTCAAACACGGAATCAGGCCATCAGCACAAGTCGTGCTTTCTCCATCACATCATCACTGATGATAGCCCGTGATATAAACTGAGCTTCCAATCACATCTTGGTGCAGCATCTGAGCTCCGAACAGGAAGGCTATGAATTTGGCGGCAGACGAAGCGGGCAAAGCCTGTGCAAGAATCCAACAGCTGAATCGAAGACAAAAAATGTTCTCACTGAACGCAACCTGCAGCATTTCGGGAGACATCACAGTCTGCCTGGAGCGCATCTCTGTAGAAAACAAAGGACCGAGCGAACCCAAGAAAGGCTGAGGTGAGGGCGACATTCGGGAGGCTGCATACGGTGCTACCACGTTCACTTTGATCTGCTTCTTGGCACCTCATAATATAACAGTGACAGCAGTAACGTCACAGCAAAAGAAAAGAACCAATAGCCGAGGGCCGGCCTTCTGCAGCCAGCGACAAGCTGAAGCCCACGACGGCCCTTTGAGCAAGGCTTGGCCAACGTGGAAGGTGAAATCCTCTCTGTGGCAGCTGCCAGCCTCTTCATGGCCGTGTAGTTGGCTTGACCTGACCACTGCGTCCATAGTCACATCCGCGAAAATCCACAGGCGTGCTCTGCCGTTCCAGGGCCCTCGCCATAGTTACCATACAGCCCTACGGGGCTTGACACGTTCACCACGCGGCCATAAGAGTTCTTCTCCTCTGCCCACTCAACTGGAAAGGCAAAGCGGCAAACCTGCTGTGCTTTTTGGGGCCAGGGCCATATGAGGCCAGGCAGCGCGGGTGACTTTGAAGGCACCTCTCAGGTGGACCTGTGAAGAGACCAAGGCAGCGCAGGTAGGCGCAGGCATTCGCAGCTGGGAGGGCTGGGAGCGCCTGGTACACCATGTCCCAGTCCTGTCGTTAACAAGATGGAATTGAAAGCTACAGCTAAGAACTGTTTTGCAGCTCTATAGCGGGGCTGGTGAGAGGTGAGCCTTCTCCGACATCCTCTTGAAGGAAACATCCCTCAGAATCCCGGCGTTGTTGATGACAATGTCTACCCGACCGTACCTGACCACGAGGCACACAAACAATCAAGAGTGATAGAACAGGAGCGTTTGCAACTTTCATGCAGACTTCAACACAATCTAGCTGCTACGTAGATTTGCGGTTCAGTAAGCTGTTAACTATATAGGCCCAGGGTTGCTCTGAACTCGACGTGGTGTGGACCGGTCGGGCGCACGTATCCACGGCCAATTGGACTATCTTGTCCCCGTCCACAACGGAATCATAGCTGGCAACAGCCTCGCACAACTGAATATTGGCAGGTATGTCTTGATGAACGTGGTGCTCCAGCCTCTCCACCTGCTTGCTTGATCTCAGCTACGACCGCATCCTGGCTGCAGTTACAAGCCGCGCCGGCCAAGAGGCTTCATTGAGTAGCCGACCGCTGCAGAACTGGAACTCCCCGTACCAGTTGTTGTGCCTAAGGAATGCTTCAAGCCACGTCTGGGCAGGGAAACAATGGCCTCAATCCGCAGACCCTCTTTCGGGGGATCTTTCCCGGCTGCCGTATTAGATACCACGTGCCTTCATGCCCCATCGGTGCTCGAGACCCTTGGGTTGGCGCTTAAAGCTGGACCCTGCAGTCCATGCGCAAAGCCCGGAATCACCAAACAACCCAAAAGCAAACGAAAATTTGCGTCATCATCAGCAGCAGCAGATCCCTTGCCCAGTCACCGACACACGCGCAACCAACTACAACTGCCCCGCCTTGCTTGTGCAACCCACCGGCTTGCACATACTTGCTCAGTACCGCACCACCCAGATCGTTGACCACCACCTTCGACAAAGCGCTGGTGGTGACAACAACCCCTCTTTCACTACGCAATGGGGACCGGCGACCTGCCTTTGCGCCTCGCAGCGCGAGAAGAAGCGCATATTCCTCTGCAGCCCAGAGAGCTCCGACATGTCACAGAGACTTGGATCGAAAGGGAAAGAGGGAGCAGTCCTTGCCTTGCCGAGACCATTGCCCGCGCCTGTGACAATGGCCACCTCCCAATGCCGGGATTCCGGGATGCTGCGGACGCAAGAAACCAGAAGAGTTCTTGTGAGTTCTTGTGGGCAGCACCTTGCCGTCAAAGCGCAGTGCCATGGCGCACAAGATTCTGGGCTACGACAGGACCATTGCTCAGCTGCCCGTTCGATTCCAGTTTGTGGCTTACAAATTTGATCGGCGCGCAAAACTTAGCGGCAACTCCGCATCTCTGTCGTCATCATTGAGCTGTAACGTGCCGGAGAGTCTTGAGCAAGAAAGCACGAACTGCACAGAAGCTAGTGCAAACTCAATGTAGGCTGACAAAAAACAACGAAAACACACGATGAAAGTCTAAGCCAGCAACCTGCCTTCTCTCTCGTTTGGCTCGCGGTCTTCTCAAGATTGGGCCGTGCCTGCCCGTGAGCTACGAGCTAGGAAGAGGAGGACAGGAGTCAGGAGTCACTGGAGACTGGAGGCCCAATGAGGCCCAGGCGTTGGAGCGTAGGGCCTGGAGCTCTCTCCTCGGATGCTCGAAAGAGCGTGGCCAGTGGTGTCGAGTCATGGAGTCTGGAAGAAGTGGCCCTGTAGAGCAGCTTCCCCGTCCATGCCGGCCAAGCGTCTTTACCTCGGACTTTGAGCTCTCAATGCTCTTCTCCGCATTCTCCAAGTCCTGAACATATGCAATGGATCAGCGGACCGTCCATGCTTAAGCACTTGAGATTTGATGGGATTTCTGGAGATCCATGAGGCGACCTGTCAGGAACAGGATCCCGTTTTTGTCCATGTCAGGTGCAGCGGGCGAGGGTAGAGGAAGCTACGGTTCCAGATGCACTTGTTCCGCATGCTCTCCGAGCAGTCCATGCACGGCGACCATCCTCTGGCACATGGCCGTGGCTGCGCTGCTATGACACTTCAAGAGAAGGTTGCCAGCAATTCATGGACAGCTCGCCAGCTGTGAGCAACTATCATTATCTAGCTATCTGCAGTCTGATCATCCACAAGGGCTTTGCTTGCGTCGAACCCTGGCTCAATGGCAGGACGGAAAATTGCAAGCCGCCATTTGGCCAGCTAAAGCAGGTCGTTCTAGATTCTAGCTCAAGTCGAACTAAGTGAGCCACCTATCGGCCGGCTTAGCGGCCCTCACGATTTCTGAGGTCCCAGCCCTGCGACAAATTGCAGCAAAGGAAAGACGAAGTTTGCATGGAAATAGGGTGCTCGATCCTCGCTGCTGCAGGTCTCTCGGTGGCTTTCCAAATACTCCTTGGCCGAATGAGCATGCAGCCACAATCAAAGAACCAGCCACTCTCCATACCCAGCAAAAAACACGTCCACAAAGTCAAGCGAAGATGCCAACGCCGGCTTCTTCCAAGATCGGAAGAAGCGATCGCCGCCGGGGCGAAGAAGCCACTGGAGGTAGTCCTTTTCAATTTGCTTTGAATACTGCACTGGAGATTCACTGGAGATATCATTCGGCACGGAGAGAGGGCCTGCTGCCCGGAGACTACCAGCCTCATGAAGTTCTCTTTTACGACGTCACCCAGCATTCCGTGGAAGACCTGGGTCATACTGGGAGCTTGCTATCCCTTTCCGTGACAAAACCGCACAGGCTGAGGTGTGGCAAACAGGAGCATTTGCACTGTCTGCGCTCTCAGCTCGTGGCCACTATGCACCGCGCGAGGAGAACGTACTCATTTGGGACTTCCGGCGAGACCAGTCCCACAGACGTTTTGGCCGCAATGCCTCGAGTTCACTGAGACTCAACAACGGCCCTGCAGACAGCTCCGGAGATGCCTAGCACTGCCGCGAGGAGAAGGTCAGAGTCGTAGAGCCTCAAGCGCCGTGAAGGCCGTGAAACTCCCTTCGCTCTGAACAAATACTGTGGTCCCCGAAGGCAACATCCGTCAAAAAGATTCAGTCGAAGGGCGATGCTGCAAGCGCCAACTGGTTCTGCGCCTCGGTGATATGCGCACCCTCCAACGTTCAAACATACGAAGTGGTACATGTGAGGACTCGGAGAATCTGAGGCTGCATGCTGCATCGAGCAGCATACTCCTGGGAGAGGGTAGGTGACAAAATCTACCACACCTTTTTCTTGCGTCTGTCGCAACGGCAGCTGCCACAAGCTGTACATGTCTCATGGTCATGGAATGCATGCAGAGGAAGAAGCGGTGGGTGCGATGGTTTCGGAACTTCCTGCCGTTTGCACGAACGCCGAAGTCTTTTGTGTTTGGTAGTGACTTGTCATGCATGCATATGTAAGCATTGCTTCGCGGAGTCTGAACAGACTCATTCGCACTATCCAATGCCACCATCGACGTTGCTCAAGCAATGGTGCACAAATCGAGAAGTGTACCGAGTTCTGGCAAGGGCCTCAGCTTGGAAGCTGGGTTTGGGTTTGTGGTGGTGGTGTTCAAGGCACCCGGTACCCTAGTCCCGAACCCTTCAGGGTCCTTCGGAGCTTGATTTGCAGATGGTGATCGGAAGTAGCGGTGATGCCTAGTGATTATGATGATGTACCGTATCAGATAAGACAGGCGTTGCAGCAACAGCAGCAACAACAGCAGCAGCCACCGGCGTTTAGCATCGTTACCGATAGCAGTCCGCAAAGACAGGTTATGACACGCCCAAACGCTGAAGCGCATGCAGAATCAGCCATTGAGCAAGGCTTTCATCTGCGGTTCGCAACGGCAATGTCTCTTCCATCAAGGCTACAGCTACAGCAGATGTTGCAAGTGCAAGCGCCAGAAGAGTTTCTGCATATGTTGAGATCAGACAGAACGAATACCCTTTCTGCCTTATCTTCTTTAGAGGATGTGCAGAGGAGGCTCGATGATCTCAACGGTGACATGCAGTTTCGGACAGAACGCTTGGCAGCATGGGTTTCTTCCATCATGGGGGAGGCAGATGCCACTCGACAGCATTTGGGAGCAGTAGGCCAGTCCATGCAAGACAGCGAGACTCTGTGGAAGCGGGCCGATGGCCAGTTCAAGGAGCTCATGACTCGTGTGGGTCAGTTGGAAGCGGCAATTAAGCATGAAAGCAGAGCGCAAGCCACGTTTGAAGCTGACATGAGCACGAAGGTGAACATGTTAGCTCAAGCTGTTCATGACTTGCAATCACAGTGGGCACGGGTGGACGCATCCGAACAAGCTCACGCAGAGCGCGCAAAAGCAATGAGTGAAGAAGTCGCAGGAGTACATGCACTGCTCGATGAAGCCAGTCATGCGCCCCTTACGACGGAGCAGAGAGAGCGCCTAGATGCCTTATGTCAGGCAGACGTCTTGACTAAGAGTGATGGTGCTCAAATTATACAGCAGATGCAGGATGTACGACGGGATCTTGACAAAACGATGGAGCATCTTGAATCTCATGTGCATGCTACTGTTGATCGCGATGCCCGGCTGAACAGAGCTCTTGATAGGCTGGAGATTACCACCAAGCTTCAAAGGCGCTGTGGAGATGAAAGTTTAAACCCTTAAACCAGTGTACTTGTTACAACCACGGCGCGAGCTTGGATTCTTTTCTCACTTGCTGCTCCGCTGTCGGGCTGTCTTGAGCCTACGTTTGACCTGCGGTGGAACACTGGATTCCTGTATGTAAATGGGCATGAGGGAAAATTGAACTATCTGTTACGCCCTCATCACGTACACAGCTTTGTCGTGTCACGTGATCCTTGTGAAACTTTTCCTACTTCTACCACAGTTTTCGCATGCTCCTGTGAGCTTCATCTTCTCTTCTCGCACGCTTCTTTGAGCACTTGTTGAACATCTTTATCCTTTTCTTCCTTTGGTCTTCATCCTCAATCTTCAGATGTCCTATAGCAGATTTGCGAATTTCCATTCCACACACGATTGGCATGGACTCACTCGGAAACTAAGTCACTGCTAAAATTGCGCACTCACTTTTTCTTCACGTCGCTTTTCGCGATGTAGTCCATTCTTGCACTTCGGCAATCTGGAAACTTCTGTCGGACTTTCTTTCACCAGTCCATTCTTGGCTTTTCAGCCTTGTAGACATTGACTTTTGAAACATTCGTGGTGCTCGTAGTGCTTTGACGTTGCCGTGGGACTTTCGTCCACGTGGCTTTTGCTTTTGTCGTTGCCGTGGGATCTTTCCATCCTCGTGGCTTTTCTCTCAAGCTTCTAAAGCTTTCTTGGTGAAACGTTTTGCCTTGGGCACTTTCGCCCTCACGCTTGTTGCTGGGCTGATTTCCAACCCTCACTTCTTTTCTGCTGGACGTCAGCAACGCCCTCACGGTTCCTTTGCTCTTGCTTTAAACCGTTGTTACATGTCACCTAGCCCCAAGGGCCCTTGGGTTGCTGCTTCTGTGCTATCCGGCGTTCCCGGACTAGCGGGTCTTGTCATTGTAGCACTTACGGCTTGGACTCGACGCCTGAGCCTTGACCTGTCTTCATCACTATTGTCGCTACGTGATCTGAACCTTAATCCATCACTTGTGTGTCCTCGCTGACGAAGTCTTGACCTTTCTTCGATCAATGTATCAAGACCTTGATCTTCCTCTTGTTGCAACTCTTCAAGTAGTGTCGGGCCAAGTTCTTCGGCTGCTTGTCGGCTTCCTGCGAGGTATGCCTCGTAAGTTAGGCGTGCTGCCCCTTCTAGCTCTTGCTGGCCCATAGTGTCCAGTGCATTCCTTCTTTCAGCAAACGTCATGCTATCCCACTGTTCTGCCGTAATTTCATCCGGCCTTTCATATAGCACATTTCTCACTGGCTGTTGAGTTTCTTCTTCTTCGTGGTACTCTTGTTCTCCTTCACTCTCGTTGGTGTCGTACCACTGCCGCCAAACACTTTCCGCGTGATCGCGAATGCACTCCACGCAACTATGATTTGTGTGGTTCCTTTTGTTGCGCGCGCAACGGCTTTCATTGCACCAAGTGCACATTGCGGTGCACACTTCTGTATTCTGCCGTCTTGTCGAACTTGAAGGTCTTTCACCGCGGCTTTCTCTGTCCTCTGGGTGGCATACCCAGCATGACCTGCATCCTTTATCTCTTGCAGTTTCGATAGACATTTCTTGTGTAGCCGGCGGCGGGCTCCACCATTTGCAAGACCGTTTATGATACACATGTCTTGTGGGGTAAACGTAGACTGGCTCACCAGTCTTCTTGAATTTCAACTTGTTGTACAAGCTCTTACACCCCTTCATCACTTGTTGTATGAGGAAGATTACTCCCATAACACTTAACGTGATCATCAGGATGTCCATCGCTTCCTCCATCCTTCTGCTTGTGTCTTCAACTCCTTGGTTCCCTTCGCTGTGGGCCGAAATGCCTGCGGTTGCGATTATTCCATGGATGTACAACATCCATACAACGGTACCCACATAAGCTCCTGAACTTTTCTTGTTCATCATTATTCCTTTTTCTTTTCTTTCTTTTGGCTTTTCTTTCTCTTCTTCTGCCTTCTCCGCAACTCTATCTGCTTCTGCTCGTACTTCTGCTCTTTCCTTGGCTGCTGCTTTCATCTCCTCCAGCTGCTGCAGCTTTTCATCCATGATCTCTCCTTGTTCTCTTATCTTTTCCTGGATGTCTTCAGGTATCCGAACAGTTCTTTGCTCCAACGCTGCGAAGTTAGCTTCCTTCGACTTCTTCAACCTTTCAGCCTCTTCTGCCAATTCTTCTGCAGTTTTCTTGAACGTCTCCAAATCTTC